GGGGACAAAAGCGCTCCACCACCGCAGCGATGAGCCACACAGCACCGCTGCACGCTAATCTGGCCCCTATTGAAAAGAGGTCAGCTGTGCACTGAGCCAGGTCCTTGAACAAAAGAAAGTTACATAATACTGCACAATCTGGGCTCTTTTTACAAGGCTGCAGGCCTGGCTGAAATACTCGGGCATCAATGAAGGTCACCTGTCAACTTAGAGTAGTGCCTAAAGATAACTTCGTGTGGCTATAAACGACCGTTAAATGAAATGGTGAATTTTTGGAGGATTTTGAATACGGAAAAAATGATAGTCATGCCAGCCCAGCATCATCAACATTGAAAAATGCCCTGGCATGAAGTGGTTAACACCATATGTGTCTAACCCTTTTCCTTCTTCCACATCTTGGACAGGAATTCAGTATGCAACTTCTCTGGTAACTTCAGGGCCTATTCCACATTATCCTTATAATTCTTCAGTTCTGCCTCAAGCTTTAGATGCCTTGCAGTCTCGACCAGCATCGTCAGTTCATCATTAAGGTCCCTCAGGCCAGCCCATTCATCATAGGTGAGGTTTGCACGTTCTCCAGCTGAGTCAAGAGGCCCTGCACAATTCTTCCTTTGTCTCCAAAGGCCTTATCAAATTGTTTCATTGTGGTTGCATAAGCCTTATCGCCCAGGATCATGTTGCGATCTACCATCGTAAGACGTTTTCTGCCTCGATTGCTATGTAGGTTAGCAAATTTTGTCGCCTCTGGTAGCTGGAACTCTGGTTTGCTCATGATGCTCTCACAATGACCGGAATACAATGTATTGCTTCACATTGTGTTCATCATCAAACTTCAGTACTTCCAGCTTTGGCACTGTCCACAAACATGCCGTAACATGATAAGGTGCCTCGTGTCTGTGGGCAGTCGTTTGAGTAGACTTGTTATTGACCTGCTTATTGGAGGAGTCATCATCCAGAAGGTCAGTTCTGTCTGAGCAATGCAGCTCATCGCTATGGTGATCAGAGGATTTGCTGCTGTGGTTAGACTGCAGTGAGTCTTGGCTCGTTGTAGTATCAACAATTGGGTGGACTGCCCCCCCCTTTCCAACTCCGAATCTGCCTGCCGGTAGTTGTCCTCTAATTGCCTTTCACGTTGTTCTGCCATGATACAAGCCTCCGCTTAGAGTCGTTGTGTAGGAATGCTTTCATGTTGAATGCTCTCTCCCGTCTCTGCTGCCTCTCAACAAATGCATAATCTCTATTCGTCTACTGCTCTCCTTAATTCCTGTAGTCGCCTTTGTGCATCATTCCCAGCTAGCTGTCACTGTATCTCCGACTGGGAGACTGACCTGGATGAACTGCACACCGAAGGAGGTTTCTGTGCATTCGTAGGTTGCCGGGAGACATCAGGGGCTGATTCACTCATTAGACTAGGTGGAAGGTTGAATTGATGATCTTGTGTAAGATAAGCAGGGATGTATTGCAATCTGGAGGGTCAAGTAGCTGATAAATTAAAGCAGATGTTGTTGAAGATAAATGAATAAAGTGATGTTAATATTGTCAAAGAAAGTTTCATATAAGTGAAAATAGTACACAAAGAAGGGTAAGTTGTAAAATGTACTTGTCTCCAGTGATAACGGTGTCGGTTCTGTTAAGTGCCTGGGCAACACAGTTTGTGATGCTACCCAGTGGCCACAAAAAACCTGTGGAGGAAACGTGGGTGCAGCCCGGATGCTTAGCGGAGGTGCACTCTTCCTGAACCGATCGGAAATGTTCAAGAGGAAGGGGTGGATGAGTCTGGTGTAGCAGGGTGTTTCGCTTGACCGAGAGTGAATTCACGTAGCCAAAGGACTCTATGTAATGGAATGGCTGGCATTCCTGGATGCATAAGATGATGTACATGAGCACTGTGCAGAAAACCTAAAAGGCATGTCGTACAAAAAACGAAAAGACATTATGGGACATGACATGTCGCATGTCTTGGTATTCTGCAGAAGCTAAATTTTGATTCTTGACCCAGTAGTTCCAAGGACAACATTATTATATGGTGGTTAAACAATGGGAACTTTTTTCCCCGCCATACCTGTACCTGAGGTCATAGTATCAACTTCATGCTAAATAGGTGTGTTGGTCTAGTCTTTATGTCTTTGTCTTTATGTCTTCCTATGTCTATTACATGATGGAAGTCTAGAGTTTAGGCATTGGATTGGCTGGGTATTTTTGTTTGTGAAAACAAAGCTTGTTAACTTGCACGTTGTTGGTAGATGTCCTGAAATTTGAAGTGGCTGAAAATGATCACTATTTAGGCTTGAATGGTTTTTTGGTATTATCTAATAGTGGTGTTTTTATATATATATAAAAAATACCAACTGGTGATCCTTAAATACCGGCAAAGACTGTACGGAATTTCAGTACCTTGGTATTGTTGCTAATAGATAGAAGAAAACCACCATATCACCATGTTTCATTCTATTAGTGGTACAAGCCATCCAGTGTTATATGTCTGCATTTATCACTTATAGTAGAGATACTACACATGTGGCCTAGTATTTCGGGTTTGTAGCTTCTGATCGTAGGGTCGAAGGTTTGAATCCAGCTGGTGGCAGCATGTTGCGATCTTGGGCAAGTCACTTTACCCCCATGTGCCTCTCTCCACCCAGAAGTAAATGAGTACCCTTGAGGGCAGATTTGGTTGTGTTTTGAATAGCTGTGTGTGCCTGATAGGGCTGCATCAGCTGTTATACACCCCGGGAGCTGAGATGGTTTTAGGAATGTTCAGTTGTTTTGAGCCCAATTTGCAGGGATAATAATACGCCTTGAGCACCCAGCAGGGTAGATACATGTACCGGTACATGCCCAATAAATTGGTATTATTGTTATAATTGTCTGGCTGGACTTGGTAACATGAAAATTCAGTGACTGCTAACCCACCAGCCAAAAGCCCTTGGAGTTTTATTATTCCCCGTTTGTGATTTGTGATATTGGAGTAGCTTTTAGTGACTGACTGGAAGTGAGAAGTAGTTGTTGACATTCTCAAGAAATGTCTCCGCTTATTGTCTCTGCTTTTTCATGATGTACACTTATAGCCCACTTTAAAGAATATCATGGTATTTTCATCATGAATATTGCAGTACAAAAAAATGCAATACCGTCCAAGCCTGTCACTAACAAAATTGTGTTTTTTGTATCTGAAGCAGCTTTGATTGGTGCGACTAGACAGTGACGCAGAGGCATCACAATGATTCGTTTACTGCCACAAGAGATGAGGTCTTGCTTTCGCTCTGGCATAGCCATCCCAAGCATTGTGCAGTGTGTTGAGGAGTTAGTATTGAATGCTGTGGATGCCCAGGCAACATGTATTGCTGTGAGAGTAGACATTCCTAACTGCCGAATACAGGTTTGTTGAAGAGCCACAGATCATGAGCATGTGTGCTAGTTTGTTAATTTCTGTAGTCAGTGTTGAGATGTGAAAAAAAAAGTGTTTTTAAAGTACTGTTTCTGGATTGAATCGGATTGAGAAATATGGGCAATTTACAACAGTGCGCCTCCAAGAGTTTGAAACGCGTTGGCCAATCACATAATGCAAAATCTGTCGACCCTTTCCAAATCCACATTGAGAAAGATTTTGCACGTCATGATTGGCCAACGCATTTCGAACTCTTTGAGGCGCACTGTTGTGAATCGCCCGTATTGTCCTGTAGCTTAATTTTTACTTAAGTGCAAAATGAAGGATATAACCAATCCCTTGATTGGGAGGTTACAGGTACATGTAAGATGTCTCCTTCAGTATGGATGACTGTGAATATGAGTGTGATTTAAAGTAATTGGAGTAGCTTAACCTGAACTTACTTTACGCAAAGTCAACAACTAAATGACTAAAGCACTAAAAAAAAATTCATAACAAGAATTGGTAGTTTGCACAAAACACTGTTGATGGCTGTCATGTCCCTCTTGATGAAAATTGCATTTCAGTTTGTGGGATGTCATTCATGTAAAAATACACAAGTAAATTTTAATTACCAATAGCTTCATTGACATTTCTTCATTATTACCAAGAATATTTGTGTGTAAACAGAAAAGTAATGTAAAAAAATAATTGTATCAAGCTGAAGGCACATACATGTAGCATGTGTTTGAATCATTTGCAAAATAAAAAGAGAAATTGGTTGATAATCTACAGAATGAGATGATGTAACGTTTTTCCAGTAGTGTATCTTACGGTAATTTTCTTTGTTAGGGTTTTTACAGATGAATTCGATTTTATGTTTGTTTTATCTGTCCTTTATTAGGAAACCTAGAATTTGCATTGCGTTGACATTGATCATGGAAGCAGCTTGTTTCCTGTGTTGACAACTATTGATAATTAAACTACCGTGTTTGCCAGTCTTTTTTAAATATCCTCTTAAATGTAGTATTTTTCATTTTAATTTTTTTTGTTAGTGCTGTATTAACAATGTGGCTTTCAGCTTGCTCTCTAGCTTAAAAAAACTTTAACATTTACGCAGGTTGTCGACAATGGGAAAGGTTTATCAAAAGAGGATTTTGAACTTATTGGTCATCGTTACGCCACCAGCAAATGCCGTCAACTGTCTGATCCAGATGACTTGAGATACTTTGGATTTAGAGGGGAGTCTTTAGCAAGCATCATTCACATCTCAAGAATGCTTGAAATTGTCAGTAGAGCAAAAAGGTGTGACATCACTTTGTCAAAACTTTTTCACGACAGCAAGTCAGAGGTATGTGAAATGTACATGTACATTTATGTCCTAACCCCCCTCCTGTTGGAAAGATATGTGATACAATTGAGCAAATGATCTTTGGTCAGGAATGTATATTTCAAATACAGTTTTTATTTCAAGAGACATGTCTGAATAATTCCTGGCATCATGTGTCATGTCTTTCTAAGTTCAGCAGTGAAGACAGCACTGTATTCTATATTAGCAACCCACAAATTGCTGCGATCAACAAAGACTCGCTTTGCTTGAATAAAAAATCACGTTTGCAGTTATGCCACACCGTGCACACACTATCATTCACTGTATCCTCCACCCTGGATTTATCTGTTTGGGTTGTGTAATGTTTATTCCATATACACAAGGTCTGGAGGTACATGTATGTTCTGAATGTCTCTCACCTGAAGCATACATGTACATGTACCTGTACCTGTCAACTGTTCTTATTAATCAGAACAGTTCTGAATTTTGGAAGAGGAAAAAACTCTGAAAATGTCTCTTACATGCTCACTGAACATGTGGGAAGTTTGCTCATCCCCAGTTAATGTGTACATGTACATGTGGATTCCCAGAGCATGGGGAGTAGGAGGAGTATGGAGATACTGTGCCATCTCTGAAATCACTGGACCATCTCTGAAATCTCTTTGCCATTTCTGCCAAACCTAACCCTAAGGCTGAAAACCTTTCACAGTCTTTAGACGGCGCTGACCCAACCCCAGACCTGGAGACCTTGAATGACATGGAGGGACTGGATGCATTTAAATGCGTCTTCTGGAGTTGACCAGAAAAAGGGAGAACAAAATTACAAAAAAGGAGAGAATAAATAAAGAGACACACACCATGCTACCTAAAGATGAGGATGACAGTTTGTGACAACTTTAACAAACAAAAACCATTATCAGACTTTAAAGTAAAAAAAAAAGATTCAGTTAGCGCTTTCTGTTTTTCATGTTTGAATTTGATCCAGCTAGGAGGATCAGATCCGGCAAGGGGGATCAGATCCGGATCAAAAATGTGTGTAAATGCAACTGGGGTCTTTGCTGGTAATGTTTCCTTGTGAAGGTCAGTTAAGCGTGCCAGGGTTTCCCCTGCCTATTCAGCTGTGAGGTGACCCACTTCACTGATTTGAGTGACCACCTCAGGCTTTTCTGTTGAACTTTACCAACTCGCACTTAAAATAGACAAAGAAGGAAGGAAAGAGCAAACTAACTTGAATATTTTGAAATAGATCAGTTCAAATTGTTCAGAAAGGTAAAGAAGGACACAGAATACAAGATTAACTTATTTCGGAGGGGAAATTTAGAGTATATGTAAATATATTATTAGACCCTATAGAATTTATTTTAGGCCTTTTTAAAAACATGCTTTTGTTTTGGGCACTAGAATTTTGGCAAAATTTGTTTGACCACCTCACATATATAACAGCGAACACTGTGTCCACGGAGGTCTTCATTTACCCTTTAAGTCTCAAATGAATCACTTCTGAACCGATTTGTAAGTTGTGACAAATGATAATTATGAAATTAAACCAGGTGTTTCACAGATTATTTGGGCCGGATTATTTGCTCAAAATATCAACAATTAAAAACCAGCGAGTAAATAAAAATGATATATGGCATGAGCTTTAGAAAATGGTGCAAAAAAGGACCCAAACCCTTGTTCTTCTGCGAGTGTTACAACCACATTTTCATCAAGTAGGTTTCCATATTAATCGAAGTACAGTATACTGTACACTGTGACTTCCGGATGTCTGTCAGTATGTCATGCTGACATTGCAGAAATATTTTGCTGCCTCATGGTCTGTTTGACCTTTAAAATCAACTCGGATTCATTTGATGTTCATGAGCACCTCCATGGAAGTGCAACGATCCTGGATTTTTATCTTTGTACCGAAGTTTCTCAAAAGAAAATTTGTTAAGCTGATGACGTTCTCCAAAAAAAGACATGCGAGGCATACAAACTATGGTTCATGATAAAAATCAAATGCTCTGGGTTCTTAAATTTGATGTAATGTTGAGTAACTTTGAGTGGGATACTGAGCACTACATGTGAGAGCGAGAGCATTTTCAGTAATGACAGATGTCATGCAGTTTCCATCAAACTTCTTGAACATCATCAAAACTTTCCTCATATGATATACGCAATGAATTAGAACTTAGAATTTTCGGTGGTTGAAAGGTGTAAGACCTGCCAGATATGCTGGTATTATCCCCACATGCACACAACCAGAGAAATGAACTCAGGGACAGGTGGACACTCGCATTCTAGCTTTTGTCGATTGGCCTGAGCAGCTGTTTGAACTTGACATAGTTCAGGTTGTTCCTGCCTGAATCTTGTGACGCGGAACTGCAAAAAATTTACGTTGCGCGCAATCAAAGTATAGCTACTCAGCAATATATGGAAATAGTTCCCGCCCGAAGCTGGTGACGTGGAACTGCAAATATATCTTACATTGCGTTTCAGGCAAAGTGTAGCTATTCAGCAAAATTTACAGAGATTGTTCCCACCCGAGCCTGGTGACGCGGAACAGCAACAAATATCAGCAAAAGTACCGGTACTATGGCAATCAGCAACTGTCAGCGACTGTTCCCGCCAGAGCCTGGTGACGCAGAACAGCAACTCATATCAGCAAAATACATAAAGCTGTCAGCAAAATGTATGAAAAGCAATTATCAGCATTTGTTTCCGCCCAAAGCACATTGAGCAGTAAATTAATTTTTGGAATGTACCTGCGTGGTAAAGCAAAGCCTTTGATATGCAAATTCAAACAGCAATTCCCTCTGGCAGAATGCAAAATTACCCAACTTTCATGAACAAATTAACAAGGATTTACTCCAGCATACGATAACTTTGGGCCAACCACCTTCTTTTAATTTGGCCCTTAACAATGTAGCGCCTCCCCCGACAAAGGAAGGGGTCAGGCCTTTCCTTTCGGCACATTCCCATAAGTGTCGCAAATAAGAATCAGTGCCTTAAAACCGAGATCAATTTGCGGTCCCTGAATGAAATTCACGTCGAACAACCACCTAAGTTGGTGACTTTGCCAATTCTAAGAAGGGCAAAACCCCCCCCCAAAAAAAAACCATTAAGGAAAAAAAGGGGGGAAATTCCCTTCTGGCTCCGTAAAACTGGCAACCGAGTACAGGATTTACTGGATCGCTATCAATTACTCTAAAATGGGCAAAGTGGACTACCGACGGAATGCGCATCAACATTTTTTGCAAGGCAACAAAAGAGTATCGAAGTAAGCTACGGCTGACAGGTGGTGGCACTGACGAGGTGGAGGAGAGTTGCTTTTGCAAAACAGACAGATTTCCTCTTCTCCAACCAAACACCACGGCTGCTCAGGAAAAGTGACGGGAGTAACTCTCTCCAGTAACTAGTTCGAGGCATTAAATCACCGTGCCAGCAACCGCACGTGAACACTACTGACCCACTTAGTGACAAGGGCCTCCAATGTCCCGCGGTGATAAATTATTTGAAGTTGCAATTTATTTTGCCTCAAATTGATTATTGGAGTGATTTAAAACAGTAAAGGGAATGAAAAGAGCCAAGTCTTTCGGATCATTTTCTGTGAGTTTTGTACTTTTTATGGCTCATTTTTCTTTGAAAGTCTTTCTGAGGGGTTTAATGTTAATTACATGAACATCTTTTAAAAACTTTACTGATTTTCTTTGTTGTTGGGAGAATAACTCGACTGTGCCAAGCTAATTTATTTTAAATTTGGCATGCTTGTAAAGACACTGCCTATCATTACAAATTATCGTTACATTTTGTTGTCATTTGAAGTTCAAGGAGTCATGCCTGCCAGCCCTGCATGCATTGAGCACCACAGTGGAAAAAATATATATTATTTGGTGACCTTTCTCAGAAATAGGTGCGTCCCGCAGGAATGGTACAGACTGTTTGATTTTTGCACCATTGATGTCAAAATAATCGCAAAGAGTAAGGCCTACTCTAAAAACTCCAAAAGGCTTAAACCCATGAACAAAAACTTGTACTGCAGTGATATCTGAACAAAATATTGGAAGCGGCAGATTCTGCCCCTCCCCGTGGCTCTTTTAGGGCTAAACTTTAAAAAAAGCTCATAAGTCCATGGAATGATACACAACGTAAAAAATAAACCCCCAAATGGGCCAATTTCGAAACATGGCAGCAAATGCAAATGGTGCATACTACCTTTTAATAATGGAAATTTTTTGTTCTTTTTATTGATTTACATTTAGGTCTTTGAGACTCCAGCAAAGAGACCAAGTGTGGGAACAACTGTTACAGTGCATGGTATTTTTCACAGAATGCCTGTCAGAAGAAAGATAACATCAGATAGTCTGGACTATGGAAGAGTTTGCCAAAGTATTGAAAGTCTAGCTTTAATACATCCACATGTGTCATTCTCGCTACGTGATGATAGCACAGGAACCAAGTCAATCCAGACGTACGTCACATCATCTGTAATAAACACATTTAGATGTCTTTTTGGTCAGTCTCAAGCAAAAGGTTTGAAGGAGGTAACTTACCAGTGTGGAACATTTTCTTTGTCTGGCTATATGAGTGTTGAAGGTCACCACAACAAAAGTTTGCAATTTATATATGTAAACAGCCGCCTGGTTGTGAAGACAAGACTCCACAAAGCCATCAATTATCTTCTCAGAAAGTCTTTGATTACACACTACAGGCCTGTTATTGCATCTACTGAAATGTCACCGACAGAGTTGTCTAATAGCCCTTGTAGTGCAACAAATCTGTATGGTGTCTTTGTGTTGAATATCAAGTGCCCTCTCTCTGAGTTCGACATTTGCCTGGAGCCATCTAAATCTTGGGTGGAATTTAAAGAATGGAGTGAAATACTGAATTGCATTGAGCAGCTTGTAGACCGCTTTCTCACCAGAGAAAACCTGACAATGAAAAAAAATGTGGAGAAATGTACAACCAGTCTTGGTGACAACTCTAACCTCATGCTTCGTAATGATTACAGTCATGATAAAGATTTAGAAAATCCCCAAGTAGCTAAATGGGGTGGTTGCAATTCGGTGTCCCAGAAATATGGGAAAGGCATAAGTGCATCTTCTCGCAACAACACTTTACAGTCCTTGACTGTCAGAAGGCCTCCATGCAAATTTGCTTGTGAATCAGCCAGTAACGTTTTTCCAAAAAAGACCAGCTCAAATTGTGTCTGTCACAAAGATTTGGAGACTTTGGTTTCGGAGGCAAAAGAAAACTCAAAAGTGCAAGTTGTGCTTGACCAGATTTCCAGTGAAGAAGATGTAGCCAAGGACAAACCTGCCTCAGAAGAAAAGGAAATATTTTCATTTGATAGTTGTGATGCTGAACATCCGTCGAAAAAAAAGCCAGGAGAATGTGAAAAAAAAAAAAACCTTGCTGTACGACAACCCTTTTTGACATCTGCTTCAATTGACACGTGCATGATGTACTTCGCAAGGACAGATCATTTGCTTAATGAATGTAAAACGGAAGCCAAACAGCAAATGTCCATTGGTGACAGTGATTGTAATGCAGTGTCAACAGAAGTTAATGTAAAGCCAGAACTGAAAGTGGAAATGCAGTCTGAAGAATCAAAGGATGTGCTTGGCATGTCTTGCTTATCAGAATACAAAGAAAATTCTCAGAAGTTGTCAAGGGGTCCAAGAGCACTCTGCATTCAGTGTGAAGGATGTGACATTTGTGATCAAGTCAGCCCACCTGGCACAGGAGAAGTATCACAGACATGTGATTTGAAGAATAAAAGAAGTTGTAAGGTTGAATGCACAAAGTTGCTGTTTGACAAAACCAGTAGCGTTCAACAAGAAGGAAGCAAAAGGGCAGAACAAATTGATTTCCTGGAGAATTGCTTGTTAGATGTCCAAGTGAACAATGGAGACACATCAAGCACATCCCAAGAGCAAAATAAAAGTGAGGTATATGACTGTTTGCTCAGTACATCAAGAACAAGGACACCACACAAGTTGGAAAATGTTAATAAAAGACTTACCTGGAACCACAAAACAAGTCTGGATTCAAGTTCAAGTTCTGATGTCTTAGGGTGTGACTCAGAGTGTGATAATATGGTGTCAAATTCAAATCTTCTCATCAAGAAGGATAAAATACATGATTACCTGCCTTTGTTAGAATCACCAAGTTTGGAATCAAAAGACAATGTAAGAAAAGAATCCCAGATAAATGAAAAGGATGTACATGTACATCAAGAAATTACCGACGTCAAGCCAACGCAACATGTTATTTATCTCAAATCAGTCACAGCAGATGGAAAACACAATATTGCAAATGGCACTTCATCTTCACCTTGCCAATCTGTAAATGTACACGCAAGCTCTTTGCAGATGTTTAAGAAGTCTATCCAAGGAAATTGTCCACCTGATTTGACTCTCAGAAAAGATAACAATGGCGCCAGTACCAGTGAGTTCACTTCAAAATGGACAGAGGTGCAAATTCAGTCTGGTAATACTACCAGTGTACCTCGGCTGTTGAAGAGGAGATTTACTCATGGATTTATAATGCATGAAAATGATGCAGCTAAGAAATCCCTAACAAATCAGCAGATATTGATGCAAGTTCCTGTACACAGAGTCAGTGGTATAGATCCTGCAGACTGTGGGAATGCTTTGGTAAAAAATTCGAACATGGAGAATGTGGAAAATGAGAAGACACCACATTTCTATACTTCTGCCAAAAAGCCAAGAATTGATAATGAAAATGCGAGATGGTTCCCAGACAATTTTGAAAGCCTTCAGGCAGCTGAAACTATAGAAGCTTTTTATGCACCACAAAACCATGGAGTTAATGCACAGGACCAGGCATATGTGGAGGCTAGTGAGTTAAAACTTGAGGAAAAAGAATGGAAAGATACAGAACATGATGGTACCCTACAAAGACCAAATTTGAAAAGACTAAAGCAAAGTCCAGTCACACTAGTGTCAATTGCAAGCGATGTAGAAATACAAAACGGTGTAGTAATTAACAGGGACCAGGAGAGCAAGATACTTGAAAAAACAGTCCATGAACCCCTGATGCAAAGCTTTGCGACCTCGGATGATTTTATTCAACCATTGGAAAGGCTTTTACAACCAATTGCCTTCACCAAGAATTCAGTATTAGAAAAAGATGTACCTGCTGCTTGTGTAAAAGATCCTACATCTTTGTCTGCCGGCACACATAAAGATAAGCAATTGGGCAAACCGGCTGACACAAACACAGTTGACTCAAGTTGGTTAACATCTGTAGCGAATTCACACATCGGTATGGACTTCCTGTCCCTATCAGCAGAGATTGATGATGGATTAGATGCACTTCCTATGGAGACTCAAGAGAAAGAATTTATCAGTGATGCAGAAATACTCTTTAAACGTGCTGGAACCCCTTGTTGCAGCAATCATGTTGAAGAAAAAACTTTAAGAGCAACACAGCTATCTCCTTCTTGTGCACAGACACATTCAGTAGCAGCATTAGAAACAATCTTCAGCAGGAGCTGTTGTCAAGAAATTCCCCGTAATCATCAGGATACAAGCAGTGGAAACTTGCCAGCACCTGTTGTGCATCTTCTTGGTCCAGACATACGCAAGTTAAAGGAAAAGAAATTGCTTGATCTGACTCAATCCGATTCAACATGTGTAATCCCTCATAATGAGGCTATTGTTTGCCTTGATGATGCATCCCATGAATTGACTAAACAGGGACTGCCCGAAGGTCCAATCTGTGGAGATAATGAAAGTGGGCATGCTACAGAATTTGAAAATGCTCCATTTGAGTACTTAACATCAAACAGTGATACCAATTTTTCAGCCTCTGTGCTTGATAAAACTCTAGTGAAACAATGCCACATGGAAGAAGGTCCCACTCAGTATGTCTGTGAAAGTGTACTGGTCACAAATAATCATGACGGAAACCCTGTAAATGCTAAAGAATACAGTAAAAGAAGAAATGACACTCAATCTGAGGAAATTCAACGTGAAAGTGTGACAACACTATCTACAAATGCATGCTGTTTTGATCACAGTCTAAAAAGTGTGTCTTCATTGGATGGAAATACAACAATTTGCCCATCAGCACATGTTTACACATTTTGTAAAAAACGAACGAGTAAATGCAGTGCAAATATGAGGAAACAAGTGGAAGTTGATCTAAGAACAGGTAACTGCCATTTGGAAAGATCTCATGGAGATAACTTGCGATCCTTGGAAGATGCAATATCACAGGAGGAGACAGTTGATATTGGATATCACCAGTGTCCAGTAATTAGACCCATCGGTGAGTTTTGGTGTAAAATTTATTTGTTGGTTTTTTTGTATACTGTGGGAAAGCCTTTGTTTGTTTGTTTTTTTGCTTTTCCACATATTGGGGAAAAGCATTGTTGAAATTTTTCCTTTTTGTTTTTACTTTTTCCGCATAGTGCAGGAAAGCCTTTGTTTTTCAACTTTTTAAATTTTTAAAAAAATTTGTTTTGGCTTTTCCGCATAGTGCGGGAGAGCCTTTGTTTTTGTACATGTACTTTCCCCCGTCCCTTTTTTTGGGGGGGGGCTGTTTCTTCTAGGTCTTCTATCTAAAATCCCACCTCGTGGGTCTCTCTTATAAACTTCAGAACTGCCGGCTAAAGTCTGTGTGGTGCAGTGTTGAAATGAAGTAAGCGCTCATTCTAGTCATTAATATGCAGGAAATGAAGAAGCAGTTTCACCAGTTTATTTCCTTTTTACCATGAGTGGTTAGACTGTAAATGTATTAGCAATAAGAGAGAACTTATGGAAAATGTACTGCATGTTATTAACTTAATAGTTTATCTTCTATTGATATACATGTGGGAGAAATATAATATTGTTAAATATATAAAAAGATATAAAATTCTTTCTCATAAATGTCATCATGAAGGCATCACCATGGTTTGTGTTCTACATCATTTATGTATGAATTTTAAGCGACTGCATCTCATGAAGGGTAGGTCCAATGAGCATTATACTTTGTTTATGGATAACTATGACATCTAGATGAAAGGTGACATCATGATAACGCTGTTTGACTTTTACAAATTCTTTATGCTTCATGTATTTCAACATTCTTTCCAACGCGTCTTTTGAACTAAACAAAGGTATTTTCATTATTTTGTGAGACCAAAAGTATATGGAGTACATGTGACATGTGTGGGTTGTTTCGACAATTTGTGGCATCATGATGACGTTATTCAAATTAAAGTTTCATATACATGTATTAAATAAATTAAGATTATTGTCAAATCCACAGGGTAGGTCACGTGATGACATCATCAGGACGTCATAAATTTGGACTTATGCTTTTGTTTCATGGTCGTTGTTGGGTGTAACTCTGACACTTGAAGATTGGCAACTAACTGAGATGTTTGCAAAGTCAATAGGCTGAAATAATTATTAGAAATAATAAATCAATTGATGACATCATCATGATGTCATTGTTCTAGGAGCATCTAAGTTTGATGAAGATCCAAAGTTGTCAACGGATTAAAGTCGATGGTGGAAGAAAC